CGTCGTCCTCCTCTCTCTCTCTCTCTCTCTCTCTCCCCCCCCCGATATTAGACACGACGAAAGAAAAGCACAAACGGGCGCGCGCGTTCGAGACGTCGTTTGAAACGCGGATGCACGCGCGTCACACAATCCCGTCCCGGTACGAGCACGAACGAGCGTCCTATTTTTATATGTACGGCGTGCACACAGGACGCGCACGACGACGAGCGGCGTCGCGAAAATCTCGGCGTGCCGGCGAAGGGAGACTCGAAGGTCGACCTTTTTTTACCGAGTGAGGTAATTCAAGATATACGAGATACGCGGCTTGACGATCAAAGCTCGCGGACAAATCTCTTCAATCTCCGTGCCTCGAATCGCGAACGGCAACGGATTTTTCTCCGGAAACATAATACGTCGCGAGGAAAAAATTCACAAAATAGTTTTGGAAATCTAGTTTCTCTGACAGATCTTTTAAATACTTTTTATAAAATAGACATTTCGATATATCCATCAGCGTTTTTTTTTTTTATCGATGGAACTCATCACTTCTTTTGTTTTGGATTTAAAGTAAAACTGGCGTCTAGATCCGACTCTTTTTTTTTTCCTTCGAAGAATCGTTGGCGATTGAGAAGATTAAGTGTAACTGTCGTGTCTGACCAGAAAAATGGGCTTACTCTCGCTCTAAACGACGCGTGCATCCACGGAAGTGGAACTTGCTCGTCGAGTAAAATTAATACGGAGTGCTGTGTGTCGCGTCTATCTTTTTCCAGACATCTAGTCTCGGCTCACGGTCGCCGGCGACTTTGCGCCGCATTTTGCGTTCTCATCGAGGCGTGAGACGTCGAGTGGAGGCAGGAGTGAGAAAAACCGGGAAGATCGGCGGCGCGGTATTTTGCATGGAGTGGAGCGAGGTATCTCAATCCCTTTCTTCATGATATGATATTTCCGGAGAACGTATTCCGAATTATTCAAATGTACTTCTGATCGATAAAGAAGATCGATAAAGAGGGGACAAGATGACGATCTTAAGATTCCTTGAATCACTCTGATTTTCGTGGTGATATAAAAATAACGATTAATTTTTCTTTTATTAACGAAAGCCTTGCCTGTCACTCGCAAAAATTGAAAAAAATTTATAAACAAATTAGAATTTTGTATAATTTAAATTTTTTGAGGACGTGTCAATTTTATCATATGTGGGTAAGATGATTAATAATAAGATGATAAAGGTTAAAACTAACTTTTTAAATAACAATTAATTTTTGTATGAATTTTTAATATTCCATTATTATAACGCCTGAATAACACAGTAAAATACAAATAGACAGTACTTATGAGCAAAAAATATCATTTATAATCTAACTTTAAGAAAATAAAATCTAGATAAGAATAAAAATAATGATTATTTTAAGTTATACTTATTATATTTATTATAATTGTAATTCCTCATGAAGAAACATCACAAAATTACATTCAGATATACTCAAAATATATTTCTTATATTATCTATTGTTGACAAAAATTTAAATTACAATAGATTATTTATTATCATTAAAAAGTTTCCTCTAAACAGTTTGGCACTGACCCGTTAGCTTAAAAATATTAGCCAGTCATCATCTTAATCCCCTATTTACTTTCATAAATTATTACACGCGTCTAAATCTTGATAATTAAGAAAGAGATATTCTCATCGCAGTATCGCGCTATCATTGTGGACAGTCGATTCGCAGTGCATACGAGTCTTGTTCTTCGCGCAGGAAAGCGCTGTCGCGGCTTTTTCCTGAGAACAATAGTCCTCGGTGGTATTATTTCCCATAGGCGGGAAAACGCGTTACAACTGCTACCTTCTCCCCGTTTGCCTTCGCTCACCAGTCTGTCGTTTCAGTTTTCAGCCGACACACGAGAATCTCTTTACAAGAGGAAACTCGGAATATGACGGAAGAGACGTTATCAGAAGTCGTCGATAAGATTTCGTGAATTTCCAAGAAGATCCACGGATTTGAGAACGCAATTTTATAAACGATGTATAATTAATATACCGCGGGAATGTGCACGCTCCGCCTGAACATGCCTGAATTACGAGCACTTGACGAGATGGGAGCAGGAATGCCTGGTGGTACCGATATATTTGCCGTTCTATTTTCTGAATAGGCACTCAAAGTAGACACGTCGAGAAGCTGTCAGTCAATGATTTATATCGTTCGTCCGCGGCCGCCACCGCCGGCCGCCACCGCCGTTTCCTCTCTTTAAAGCCCGAATCGCCCACATTATCGACACGAGGGCCGCTTTTGTGGAGGTAGAATGGAAAAAGTGTGCCCTTGAGAATACACCCTATCAAAGCGTGCGCGCGCGCGCGCGGGAATTATCATTGTGTCCACCGGCCGAAAAGACGGGACAAAAAGCGTAGCGGTCGAAAGCCGATCGGTTAAAATGTCATATATGCCTATCTCGTTTCTCACGTCATTAGACCACTAAGGACGCGACCTAAAATAAGACGAGGGTAGAGCGATCATTTTCATTCGGAAATATGCGCTTCGCACACACGAAGAATAAGTAATGTTATCCTTCTGATAATACAGCCTGATTACGTATCGAGAAGAGCCGAGTGAAATGTACGAATCGAAGTCAAACTAGTCGGTTCTGTCATCGAGAACGAACAAACGTCGAGGAACGTCACATGACGTACGTGCGCAAAACGACGTAGCTATTTTCTCTGGCTTGGCTATACTCGAAAATAGTAATGCTTTAATCGTGTCTCATTCGAGCGCGACTACAGGCTAGGAAGGTGATTCGGTGGTTGAGCCCTATTTCGCATTACGTCACGGTAAATTGATGATAGCCATTTATCGCAAAGGGTAACATTAAAGTAAATACAATCAGGATATCGTTAGAATGACTAGTGATTCTAAGGTATAGTGTCGATTCTAAAGACCGTTAAATTATATCTTCAAATTTTCTTTATAAAAGATCAAAAATTTTGTTTATCATCCCTCTCTTACACACACGCGCGCGCGCCCTCACAAAGAAAGAATTGGCAGCTTCTTTAATTTTGTTTTTCAAAAAGTTAGAAAAAGAGAAGCAAATCTGGAACAATTTCCTTTAACTTTCTAAATGTATAAATGCAGTAAACATTCATAGTAAACAAAATTCATGTTTACATAAAAGAGAAAATAAGATACTAAACTGTAGCAAGATTGATCACTTTAGCTGCAAATCATTTTCTTCATTCCGGAAAATAAAGAAAAAAGTTGATGAAAGTACTTCTGATATAAAAGCTAGGTGCTTCATGGGAAGTTCCGCAATGTCTTTTGCATGATTACATTTGAAATTTTCAGTAACTTCAAGAAATCGCGCGGAGTTAGGAAAATTCTTTCAGAGAAAGACTGCATGAGAAAAATGCGACAAAGTAAAGCAGTACAAAATCGAAAATATACTTCTTTGGAGTGAACGTTTACTGCATAATCGAAATTAATTAATTGTAATGACTGCATTATGGTACTGCGACGTGACATCGTAATCGTCTTATAAAAAGTTTAAGACCTCTTTGTAAACTAATGTATTATTGACATTTGTAAAAATCTGTTTAATTGCCGTATAAATATTTGAAGTAATATTTTCAACTCAAATTTATATATACTTGAATATAATTGCAAAATATACATGCAAACTCATATTCTTCGTTCTTTCGATTATTAGTAAGTAAGTATCGAAGAAACGCGTACCTGCATAAGAGAATTTTAAATATCAAACTGAATATTTTACGATAAATCTAGGCAGACATTCGGATACAGTCAATTTAATATTTATTGTTTATAAAGTATTTTATGCTTGATACATCGTAAATTGATTATTCAATTTTATTTTTAGAAAATTTCGCAAGTTTCACACAACCTTATTATAAAACTAAGAAAACTAGAAATAAAAGTAGAATAAAACTAGAGAAAATAATCGTATTAAAGTAATCTATATAATCATAAGATTTTTAAAATGTTATATAATATACTTTCCAAATTGCTTTAATTTTTGTCGCATTAGTTTCATTGTGCTACATATTGATTTATAATTTTTAGTTTCATAAGTTTAGTTTTTTGTAATTATTAAAAAAATAATTAAGCGTTCTAATATGAATAATATAACGCCGATAATATGCGCTATTTTGTTCGATAACGAAACAAGAACTTCGAAATCTACGTTTTCAAAATTTGCAAAGAATTTGTATTTCTATCCAAGTGATGTTGAGACATTTTTGTTACTTTCTGCATGACAATGCACGCACAAGTTTCTCTTCGTTCAAATGTGCTTAAAAAACGAGAATTATGTTTGAGTTAACTTACCTGGACGTCTAAGTGCGTAGTGGTGTCCTGCGGTTGCGGAGGACCTTGTTGTTGCTGTTGTTGCGAGGGCGGTGGACCAAGCGGCGGCGGCGGAGCTTGCGCCCCAAACAGCTGCGCTGCTGCATGCGAATGCGGATGTTGCAAATGATGCGTCGGTGGTGCCTGATGGTGCTGAAGATGATGCGGCGGAGCCGGCGCGAATGCTGCCATGAAATGTTCTTCGCTGCCGACAACGTCAATCCCGGGTTTCAGCAGGACAACACCGCCGCCACCGGCGCTTACAGCTAGAGTGGCGGCAGCATTCTTCTGAAATTCTTCCTCGCCCGGTGACGGTTGACGGCTTCCGGGTGTGCGACTGTAAGAGAAATATAAAAATCAATCAGACCAAATAAGGAGTACAGCGTAATTAATATAGAATTATATTTTACAAGGAAAAAAAAAAATGATTAAATAATTGCTTTATCCATGCACTTCGATTGTAATGAATATTAAGTCATAAAACCTTCGATAAAGCTGACATGTGAGCAAACGTAAGAATTATATTTTTGTTTTCTATATAAAGACACTGACGTGGTTTTCCCGAGTAGTTGGAAACGGTGACCGTAAATGTCAGGAATCTCATTGTATCAGGGATCTCAATAACGAACGTGATCGGCAAGTATAAAATCGGTTTTCAAAATATTCGATATGTGTATCCTAATTTATTCATACATTCACATTTTTTTTTTAGACTTAATTTACTTCAAGAGTTTTAAATTTAAATAAATTTAATTCTATCAAAATTATCTTAACAATTAGTAGAATTATCGATATATTTTCTATCAAAATAGAAATTTTTATTTTTGTCACATATTGTTTTAAGAATTGGAAAGTTCTACAAATAAATTTGTTGAATAATTTCGCAAAGAAACATTAAACCTAAAATTCTACGTATACGCAATTGGCTACGTCATGTAACGGTGTACTTTGCATAATAGTATGTAACAGGATAATCCTAGATTAGATTAGATGACTCGTTATTACTCACTAATTTCGTGAGAAAAAAAAAGTAGAAAAACTATGAATGTCAATAGTAGCCGTCAACGATAAATTAATGTCATTAACATAACAACATAGAAATTATAATATTTCTATCACTTATACTTTCTCTTATCGCTTATCGCGTATACTTTCTCTCTAAGTATTCAAAAATTCGACAATTATCATATAAAATGTGCGCAATAAATTTTTTTATAAGGATGGATATCTTTACGAATGAAAGTCAAAGTAAAATCGTCATCACAAAAACTTTCAAAAATTACATTTTTCTCCTTTTTACTGATTATATTTAAAAATAAAATTTCATAAATAAATCTATGTCGCACATGTTTTTATAAAGATTCTAAATTGTTAAGATTTAAATTAATTAAATTAATTTAACTTAAGAAAAATAAGATTACACATATACAAACAGCGCATTGACGCAACAAGAAAACAATGTCGGTAACGTCGTTGTCGATCGCGCTTTCTGTTGTGTGCTACTGATGGCGCAACATCACTAGAAATCAAGCGAAAAAGTATCGCGAAAGGAATTATAAATTAAGGACTGTATGTAGAGCATACTCTTAATCTCAGATATCGTTATGCTATTTCACCATGATAATTGCGGTAAAATATTTGCAGATAAAATATATAAAAAGTTACATATATCCAATAGAATACAACAAGAAGCATAAGAAAAAATCAAGTTCTTGCTGTATTTGCTGGTTATTCAATTATTTAATTTAGATTATTACTAACTGCTTTCCTATAAGTTGTTTTTATTTCTGTTGATGGTTTAAAAAAATAAACATAAAAATAAAAAAAGTGCAGATTCATTATTCATTTAATACTAAGAACTTTGTTAAAATCTTAATTTCAAGATTAATAATATAAATAATTAATTTAAAATATTAAAATATTATAATTAAATTAAATATTATATTTAATTTAAAATATTAAAATATTATAATTTAAAATATTATAAAAAATAAAACTAATTATTTAAGTGTCAATCTGACTTTGAAAAAAATGTGATACACAATATCATATTTGATATCAAACAATTCGAACAACAAAATAAAACTTACTTAAATCCTTTGTCGTCATCCAAACCATTTTGAGACGTTAATCCATTACCCTGCGGTCCAGCATCATCCTTTGTGTTATCAAAGGGACTTGCCGAACCTTTTTCTTTTTCTTTCTTGTCTGCATCAGTATTCTGTATATAAAAAGATTAAAATAAAATAAACTATATATATTTACATGCAAACATAAATTAACTTTATGTTATGTCATATATAGTACTTACTAATCTCAGAGAAACCATCCGTGGTTCCAAATCTTTTGGTGTAGTAGGACTTGATCCAAGAACGTATTCAACCATTTTAACTCCCAAACCACCTGTTTCACTGCAAGAAGAAAATATATATTTACATATCGCTGTTAAAATAACAAACAAATATATACAAATCAATAAAAATATTATTATATAGACAATTTTAAATCTTTCTTTACAAATATTTTTATCGAATTTATAATTTTTCCTCAATAAAACTTCACCAATATCATTTACACGTTTGATATTACTTTAGTTAATGATTCTTTCATTAAAACTTATATTAGAAACTTGGCATTAAAAAGATTTTATCATTTATATGTAAACATAATTTTTAAAACTTAATTTATAAAGATTTTCATATTCACAGTTTCTTACTTGAAATTATCAATATGCTTAGACATCCAGAATTTTCGCGCGTTCTATTTTCATATTCAGAGTTTACTGATGAAAGACGCGTAATACTCAGGAACAACATAACATATAAAAACACACGAACCTGCTTCTAGGACTAAGTACTGTCCCGACTTCTGATGTTTGATGGTGATATCCCGTTCCAACTCCCACACGTCTACCCGTACCCATTGAAATTGGTTGTGAGACAGCATGATCTGCGAAGGACAAGTATACGTGAGACAATATTTACATAAATTATTTACACGAGAACTACTTCTCTTCACGATAGAAGAATTTGCGCGATTTAAATTAGAGTTATAAATATTTTCGTTCAGTCAACGATTAATATTTATTGAAAATCAAGTTTTTGCTTTCAGATCAATCTGATCCTAAAATCTCGCTTTAGGATATATTTCAAGATGCTAAAAGGAATCTGATGTTTCCTAAGAAAAAGGACGAACGCATATATGCGGCTTCTCTCCGCTTTATCTCAAGATTCTAAGTAATACACTAAAAATATCGCCGAAAAATCTATTCAGTTTCCAATAGTTGATTGAATTTAATAAGATAAAACGTATAAATGACGATAGAGAACATGTGTGCTCCAATAAAAAAAAAATAAAAAAAATAAAAATAAAAAAATAAAAAAATAAAAAAAATAAAAAATAAAAATAAAAAAAATTACAAGTTTA